GGACTTTTCTTGATTGAAGACTCACTTGTTGTGTAATAGCAGGGCGGCAGCAGGGTGTACTAATGATTCATGCTCTGTTTTCTTCACCTAAATTTGAATGTGAGTGCTCTCAGGGCATGTGAAACCCGATTTCCATCTCAGCCAGTGTCCCTCTTGAGCAGCTCCGACCTCAGCATCGACCATCCGCTGCAGCTCCATACATTCACTCAGATAACTGAATACTTTGTCAGCACAGTCAGCCACATTATCTCTTTGAGAAATAACTATTTTTTTAAAGAGCGTTCCATTTTGTCCCCTGGAGTTGTTGAGGGTCTAGAGTAATACTTCTCTGCTTGCGGAGTGTCGTGCCTTTCGGCTGCTGGGGTACGCCGCACCCTGAACATATTTCATCGTAGCTGCCGTATCCTACTTTAATAATCGCCGGCAGACATACACATAATTCATGATATTATCGCTGATTCGTGATCAGTTCAGATGTTCTTCTGTGATGATTAATCGCTGTATGCATATGAAAGCGACTGAAATAAATTGCAGAAATTAAAAGGATGCTGTGGAAACTGACCAGTTGTCGATGTCAATACAGCACCATATTCATCAGAGGTATTGATCAGTCATCATGCTGAGAGAAAACTGTTCTGGTAGAGATATTGAGTTTAGAACAAAAGATGTGTCACATTAGTATTGTTCAGTGTGTCGTTCGTCTGGATTAGAGATCTTTTGTTTTGATAAATGTGAAAGTATTGGTCTTGTTCCCTGAGACCCCTGAGGTGTCTGTGAGGTACATTGTGTGATAAAAGAAAAGGTGAAATCTTTTGGAAGTTATTGTTTCTTATACCATAAACAGCAAAGAAATCATGGGGTTTGTGTCAGATGTAACTTAGCTATAAAATTCGATACTGTTCAACGGATTTAAACCTCGATGACTATGACGCTGCAGATCAAACAAACCAGTTGGAAAACAGGATTTTGAAATTTAATATCAATAAAAAACTGATGTATTATTACTTTGCGATGTAAATTAGACCTTATTTTGTTGTCAGGTTGGAATGTGCTTCACTTAAAGAGCAATGTAACAGTAACCTAATTTCAAAAAGGTGACTTTACACCACTACAAGTACCTCGTACACTCCATACGACTTTTTTTTTTCTTGCCTAAAGAGATCAACAACATTTCCTGAGGCATTACCTTTTGTTGTGCTCTTGCTTGATCTCAAGCTGGGCGACCTTTTCTGACTGAATGTTCTCTTCCATCTGTCTGATTTTAGGAAACAAGATGGGAGTGACCCCCGAATTTCTGCAACTCTAGAGCCCCAGCTGCTCCATCCTAAGCTCCCATTCACCGCCTCACCATTTCAAAAGGTAGGACTGGGGAAATTGAGTTTGCACTTTGACCGCTGACCTATATTAAAGACCTCTGTGTGACCCCCTCATTCTTTGATCTTTTTAACGTGTCTCAGCTGATCTTGTCTCCACACTTGCTCAGTGTTCTATCTGTATTTAATCTCTTGTGATGTATTAGACCCAGTTTCATGGCGTGTTACTTTGATTTCTGTCCTTGCTTTCTTTTGTGTAACTTGTGGTATTAAAGCACACAGAGCTCTGTGTCTGGATGATTATGTTTGACTGATTCAATTAATAGAAATCTATTTTTAGAAGGAAATTGTCAGCCGGATGCTGACCATTTTAAAATTGAAGCCTAACAAGCCTGATTCCATCAGAGCAAACAAATCAAAGTCTGAATGAGTCATTTTTAAATCAAAACACTAGCTTCTTCATACCCATCATCATCCGTGAGGTGTAACCTAATTGGAATGTCAATTATGCATGATAACACTGAGTGGGGCTCAATTATTACACAGTTGTTTTATGCTTTCCTGAGCCTTGCTTATTTTCCTCTGGGTTTTCATTAGGCTAAGCTTCAGTGTGAAGATTTGTGCTCTTCCATTTCTTTAATGCCTGCGGTTTATTAGCTGTCATGTCATTTTCAGATTCACCACATTCAGCTTGCCTCCTGTTCACTAAAGCATTTTTTTTGCCTTCATGAGTCAGCTATACTAGAACTAATATTCTTTCTTTCAGCAAAAATGGTTTGAGGAAACACTAAATTGCTGTTATTGAAGGTGTAGGAAAAAGGGCCAAAAGTGAAAATGAAATAGGAGGAAATAATTTCAATAAATCTGTTTTGACTGTCACGTCCGTAGCAAATCTATTTTGCTGTCAGAATCTTTATGCTTACCTTTAGCACTTCTGTGATTGATGTGAAAACCTGGCAGAGATATTTTGGGATCTTAGAAACTGAATAGCTCCTAGCTCCTCGGTGATTAAACGACAGGAACAGTGTCACTCGTGTCGGATTGCTTTCAAAAGATCCCTCACACTTTGGAACGGGCTTACAGTTCTCACAATCTGCCTTCATCTGGGGAAAGCAGGGAGAGTAGGAAGAGAAAGGGATTAAGAATTCAGGAATTCAGAGATTGGATTGCTGAAACCATCATTCCTTATCTTTGCAGCATGCACCATCTGTAGGTAAAACAGACTTACCAGTAAAAGTTAGTCAAACATTTTGTTTGACACTTAGACATTTAAGAATAGCAACTCTGGTTTATGTAATTTTCCCCTTTTTGCACATTTTAATTGAGGAAAAAATAGAAAAAGGGAAAGCATGGAAAGAGTTTTAGGGACAGCGTGGTAATGTGGTGTGCTGTAGTACAACAAGGGCTCAGTGGAGCAAGACTCCGAGGAGTGTATCACTTTAATTAGAGCCCTGCGAAAAGCAGGTCAATCTCCAATTAACCCCATCAGCTCTATGGCCATTGCCTGATTCAAACGGAACTGTCCTATTAATAATCTTGCAGATTTCTTAGAGATGTAATGCAAAACTCAAAAAGTGATCATTTTCAAATTTTGGTGGCAGAAATGGCAGAGATAAAAAAAACAAAACAAAACTAACTGAAACATCCTACTCACCAGAACCGTAGCGCTTAAAGAAATAAGTGTATTAGTATACCAAAACCAAGAGTTGAAATAATCATGAAGTGTTGTCCACTGCTCTTGGAAAGGGTTGCGTGAGTAATTGTGGGTGAGCTTTCTAATGAAAACATGTTTCTTGTCATTTACAACCTTTTTTACTGATTTGTTACAGCAGTCAGGGTGACTTATTACAGAGCTCTGTAAATTTGAGATGTCAGGAAATATCTTTAATGGCCCTGAAATGAAAATGCAGAACAAAGAACCAGACTTCATGTGAATTTCACATTCACGTGTATCCATCCGATCCACTTCATGGAGCTGGTTGAAGTTTTAATGAGCTCTGCGAAGATGTACGGCGTTGCAGCTGATAAGTCAAGAGGAGCAAGAGGAAGCCATGCGTGTTTAATTTGTCTCTTGTCATAATGGCGATCCTATTAGCTCTCATAATGAAAGGTCTGAGCTCTACACCTGCACTGTGTGTGCTAGCTTGGCTCCCTGGGGATTCCCTCATCGCCTCCTCTTTGTCAATTTCTGCAAAAATTAGATGTCTTGTTTTTCATCAAAAGATTGTTCCTTTTCGTTTTCTAACATCTACTTTATGCTATATCCTGATTCTAGTGTAATAGGTGATCTGTAAACAGGACATAGTTGCAGCTGTTGTCTGTGACCGTAGAACGGTTGGACTCCACCTCTTGCCACCTGTCAGCCTAAGCCAGGATACAGATAGTAGTAAAGACAGAGGTGGTTGGTATAAAATTTGGAGTTCTTCCTGTAATGCTTTTGAGAGATAGAGAGTGACAAAGAGGGATCAGCAAAAGGCTAGACACCTCCTCAGAGGATTACTTCTCAGCTTTAAGCAATAGCAGGTTTGCCTGCAACCTGAGACATAAACTTGCAGATAATCTTGTATGCTCAGAGCACACACTGGAAGAGTCTGTGGATCTTGTCACCAACTTTGTCTGATCCAACACTTTGTCAGTGATGCTTGCAAACAGCGGCGATGCAGCTAGGATTTTGCCATTTCAGAAAGGCACAGCAGTCATGGAGCGTTTAATCCAAATCTGCTGAAGTCAGTGACACTGGGACATCTTTGAAGCTGCAGGACTTTTTGTCAAGGAGAATTAAAAATGGCTAAAAATATTGACAAACACAACTATGCTCCAACGGTGACAAAGGCACACTGGAAGAAACCCAGCAATGTAAGTAGCTTTATTTTAGGAACATGCTGCATACAAAACATCAACAAATGACAGACAAAGTGGAGAGGACACCTTTAAGTTAAGGCACGGACAGTCACTCCAAACTAAAGACATACCTATCTATATATCTATTTATATATATCTATATCTATATATCTACATATATCTATCTATATTTATTTATCTATATAGATATATATATAAATAGATAGATATATGAGAGAGAGACATTTATAGCACACTTGTTTTTGTTCAAGCCCAAAGATAATATCTAGCAAAGCATTGCAGGTCCCATTGTTCTCATACTCATAATCAATCTTATGTGTATAGATTTATGAGTCTTATAACACTTACTTCTCACACTATTTATTGAAAGTAATATAATTCCTATTCAAGTTATACTTATTGTTATGTTCCATGAGTATAATGCGAAAGGTCCCACTTTTATGAATAAATTGTAGTAAATTTATAAGTCTTATTAGACATAATATTTGCATTTGTTTTCCATATGGGAATCTCTGGCTAAACCCAGAGCTATTTACTTTCAGGGTTTGTGGCAGACTATTGTTTGCACATGGTGGAGGACTTTACTCACAGTCACACTGAAAGCCAAGACACGATTGCTCTGTACACAAAGTGTTTGACTTTGTCAGGCTTTACTGGCTGAACTTTTCAGCCTTTTACTTAATTACCGAAAACCAATATGTCCACGGACAGTTGTCATTATGCTCACATGACATATGCCAATTTGGAATGTGATGCCCAGACAAACTGTGGTTCGTTCTAAAGAAAGGGGTCGATTTTTCATTTTCCTGTCGGTCACACGTGACGGTGAGATGTGACAAGATCATGTTCTGCAATAAGGTAACATGTTTATTAAAATAAATATGAGCTTAGACGTTGGCTGTTTTAAAAGTGGTGGGAACAGCTGGCCAAGAATGTGTAATTTATCAGCTTTACGACATCTGCTCTACAGTAGGCTTTCCTAAATGTAAACTTTAACGCTTCTTTTAAGGTCAGTTTGTCCTCATGCCTTTAACAGCTCAAACACATTCCTAACCATGTCAGGTTTGTATCAAATAACACCTAATTAGTTAATTTTAAGGCATTTCTGGCATCTTTCAGAAGACTTCTACGGAAAATGTTGCATTATTATACTTTTTGAGGGCTTTTCAGAGACCTTAACTGTAGACGTAAAATGTTGACTATATAGACCTCTTGCCCTCTAAAAGTTTTAAAAAGTGTATTTGGATTTTTGTTTTGAAAGATTTGGGGTTATTAACAGTTGTAAAGAGTGAATAGAGCTCTCTGTAACATAAAGAGCATCACTTTCTGTATTGGCACAAATGCACATACCAGGATTTTTTTTCATGTCTAATAAGCAGTGCATAGAATGTTGCACACACATTATCTTGACTTAATGTAATCCCATCATGCAGTATTGCAAATATAGCAGTGAGATCTGACACCCTAACAATAACCATGTAAAGGCGGTGTTCCAGAGATGTTTTTTTCTGTCACTGGATGGAGTGTGATGATTTTAAAGTGTTGAACTCAGCGAACCTTCACTAACGCCTGTCAAAGGCAAACTAACCTCTGCACTCAAGACAAAGAAGCCTAAACATTGAATCTTACTCTCCTCTCTCCAGACCCCAGATTTATTTGAAATGATTGAAAAGATGCAGGTAAGATGATAAAAGATCGCATCTCTGTATTTTGTCTTGGCTCACTAAGCTGTGCTCAATAAGCAACTAACCAGCCAGTGTCTCTTCCTAACTCTGCAATACTTTGGCTCTACTTTGCTGCAGTACTCATAATCTCTCTGAACATGAGAGGGATTTTGAGTATTTTCAGAGGAGTGTTGTCAATGTGTTTGTCTCGGCGTCTTTGTTAACGTTCTGGTTGAAACTTTGGCTTGCCGAACTGTAAGCTCATTATCTCACCTCAGAATCTATTTCCTGGTTTCTGAAGACTCTGGAAGGATGTTTTCTGTATTCATGCTTTCCCAATGACAAGACATGTGTTTTATAATAGAACATCTGTGCATTATTTTTTTAAATGCACATTTATCTCCTTTTAAAAAAATATGAATTGCAGTCACAATGGTGCTTCACTATCTTTCATGTTTGGCAGTAATTCTTCTTTTGCATGGGACGTGACGCAGGATTGTGTTTTTCCACTGTCGGACAGTGTATTGATGACTGCATCGTCTTCCATGATGGTCGGCGCCATCATCTAGCCTTGATTTAGTAACGCTGCATCTCTTTTTCTGCATCGATCCTCCTCACTCTCTTTTCACGTACAGACACACCCCATGTGCAGTTGTACGACTGTCACTTATAAATCTTTTTAACCCCAAGACTCTTATTCACACGTTTCTGCAGTGTTTTTAATAGAGTTCTCTGTCACTTCCAGACTCACGTCTGTAACGTCTTTCACTCTCCTCACTCTGAGGAACGTAATGGATCTCTTTCTGTATTTTTCCATCTGTCCCTTTTTTGACTTTGCTTTGTTGCCTGCTGCACATCTCTGGGGAAAACTGAGCTGTTACATAATGAGTTTGATCTTTTTTTTTTTTGCCTTTTGTTTATGTCACAGTTTGTGTTCATAGATTGGTTTTGTGCTTGACTTTAGGTATTCGTGGACTTTTCCGTGCCACTTTGTGTGACCCTCCACTCTTTTTGGTTTCCTTTTCTAACCTGCTTCTCTTACAGGGGAACAGGATGGATGAGCAGAGGTGCACCTTTCCTCCGCCTCTTAAGGTATAACTCTTCATGTAGCAAAACAAATTATTCATTCTCACTGTCCACGGCTGCTCCACCTTATCTTACTCTGACAGACATGGCAATTATTTCAGCATTCAGTATTACAATGTGTTCTTCATAATGCACTGAAACGCCCATGTTCCATACAGGAACAAGCAAGTGGGATGCTAAGCTCTGTAGACTAAAGTTCTGAAAGGGGCTTTTGAACACATTATAATTATAAAGTGATGAAGCATTTTATACCACCAGTGTGCCAAATAGTATTACTTTCATTAAGGTGTGCACTGTTGGCTGATTTCTGTGTCATTGCTAAACAGATTTTCATTGCATAACTGTTATGCAATTACTCTGAAACAGTGTCCTTTGGGAATGTAAAGTCGTTATTATTTTGTTGTTATTGTCCTTCTTCGATGAGGAAACAAAGCATTTTTCTTTTTTTTTTCCAGACTGAGGAGGATTACATACCGTACCCAAGTGTCCATGAGGTACAAAGCTGTGTTGCAGTATTATTGTTACTATTATTATTTTATTCCAATAAAAACATAGAAATATTGAAAGCAGTTGACTCAGTGTTGAAGACATCCAAAGTCTCAATAAAATGTACATTTAAGCCTCAACAGACAAGCTGTGATCAGAAATTTTACGAGCATTCTTATTAAACTAGTAAATACTCAGGCTAAGGATATTTGCTCTGTAATCTCATTTTAATTTAATTTTTTTTTAAGTTTTTCTCAAGTCAAATTTTTAGTTCATTGTCTATCTCTGAGACGTGACTTTGTGTTTCATTGCTATTTTTTATTGAAACAGGTGCTGGGGAGAAAGAGCCCCTTTCCTCTTATCCTCCTGCCACAGTTTGGGGGCTACTGGATTGAAGGGACCAACCATGAGCTGAGCCAGGCTGGAGACACGGAGCCTCTCCAGCCTCTGTCCCCGAACACTCGGACTAAGCTGGAATGTAACACCCTGGCTACGATCTTCAGGAAACATTTCCTGGGCAAGGTTCGCTACTCTGTACATGACAGAAACACATGGAGCTGCTGACAAGTAAACTGTAGTATACATATTAAGTTAAATCAGCTTTGCATTTACTGATTTGCAGTCCTGGCTAAGGGCTCCCCTTGTATTGCCTCTTCTGCAGCTCTATTTTAAACCTACTTAACTGAGTAAGTTACCATATTTAGTATAGTTTTTAACCATATCATCTGTGACATTTTGAAGTCCCTGATAGATTATATTTAGCTGGATGCATTTTAAATATCTCCCCCATTGCTCCCCCATTATATTAGTCAAATTGTCTTGTATTTCATGGTTAAAATTACAATTAACGAGAACATTAATAACTGTACTAAGTTACTTAGTTAAATTACTACAATTTTTCAGAGATTTGTTTTCTTCCACAGTGATATTGCCAAAGTCATATTCACGTCATGTTCTCATTATAACAGCTTCCTTCCTCTTCAAATGAGTCTCATTGCTGTCATGAAATATTTCACATTACTTCTTCTTCATTACAGTAATGGGACAAATAGGAAATAAGCAAATCTCTGCATAATAAAGTACAAACAGTAAGCCTGCCTCACAATTAGGCACCTCACACACTGTGGCTAATGAAGATGCATTACACTTTGCAAGTGTTCTTGCAAACACATAATACCAGTAAACAAAATTGGTTGCATGTAGCAGAGGACGAGTAAACAAAGGAACTCAGACAGGAAAGGAATGAACTGGAGCACATTTACCCGTGTTGTGCACATGTGTGCCTCTTTATGACAGATACTAATGGTGGTACTAATGTATGCTGTGCCCTTAGGAACACTTTAATTACTATTCAGTGGACAGTGTCCTTGGACATCTGGTGTTCTCCCTAAAATACGAGGTGATCGGTGACCAGGAACATCTGCGTCTAATGCTCAGGTAACGCTTAATTTTCATGCAGGGTTCAGTACAATGTTGCCCAATTGTCTGAGAAAATCAACAATTTAAGTCTGCCTGGTTACTTCATAATCTGAAGTAATTAATGTGTAAGATTTTGCCTCTTTTGTGAACAACAAGCTCTAGCTACGGAGTAATTTTTTCCCCCCTAAATTGCCCAGCATTGACTGGACACACACATCCGCCTGGGGTGTTATCGTAAGAGTTGTAAAGCCAGCAAGAGTGTCAACAGCTCTGTCATTTCCACAGAAGAGTAACAGATGGACTATTTAGGCCAGTTAGTGGGTGGAGATGGTGAAAGGGAGAGAAGGCAAAGAGAGGCAAGGGCGGGGAGCTTTGATCATGGTCCGTACCGGATCATCTCCGCACCAACTGATAGATTCTGAGAAACGCTGCTTCGTGTTATATGGCTATAAAACCCACACTAATTCCTTTATGGCTTCATCAGGACCAAGCTGAAAACCTACCATGATGTGATCCCCATTTCCTGTCTGACAGAGTTTCCAAATGTGGTCCAAATGGCCAAGGTAAGAAGCCATTTTTATATTTCTTTTGTCTAAAGATAAGCTGCTGTGACACTTCCAGCACATTCTGACATTATTTCCCACGGCTTTTTTAAATTCAAGCTTGTCTGCGAAGAGGTCAACGTGGACCGCTTTTATCCTGTCCTTTATCCCAAAGTAAGTTCTGGATCACAGATTTTCAGGGTTTTCTTTCTAGGCCCAGAACTATGAGTTTTCAGCATCTGGTTAGATTTTTTCACAGCTGCTTTAAGCAATATCCTACAGTTGAAGAGGAAATGATGGAATTTCATATTTAATAATATACTGCAAGTCTCATATTACCTTCAGTCAAACTTTTCAGTACATCTCTGAATGGGATTGAGCTTTGCACTGAAGCATTCTAGCAAAAGAAAAACGAGAGAGAGAAAAGAACAGGAAAAAACATCTTGTATACACGGGAGAAATAAATAATATATGCAGATAAATATAATTAGATATAGCAATATACATCTTCTTTAATGTTATATCTGTGATTTTTGCAGGCTTCAAGACTTATTGTCACCTTCGATGAACATGTGATAAGCAACAATTTTAAGTTTGGAGTCATCTATCAAAAGTTTGGACAGGTAAGTAATAAAGCCTGGATGTGATCAGGTGCAAAAGCAGTGCTGTAGAAGTACTTGCATCCATTTTTAAGGAAGCTTATTATACTTGGTCCTCTGTGGTCTTAATTATGGCTTTCACTTAAGCCCAGTCATTGTGGCTGCCTTCAGCACACCCTCTCATTTCTGAGGCAATCACAGCCCTCTTGTTTACTATGTGGGGTAGCAAAAGAGGTGTTGAGTGCTTTTCTACTTTTAAATCGAGACATCACTGTGTAGAAATCTTTTCTTTTGATTTTGCAAATACTACAGAAATGGAAATGTATTGTTAAACATGTTAAATGATCTAATTGGCCTTCTCACAAAGATAGAAAAGACCCTCTTACATTCAGGAGGGATGCTAAGTGGAGAAAGGCATGATCAAATAGGCACACTGCACAGAGAAAGCAAATCATAAATAGTGAAATGAGCCGTGGGACCTTGTCCCAGGTATTGTTAGCATCCCTTTGTTTTAAAGGAGTCATTTTTAATCAGATCATCGCTCTAGTTACTGACAATTGATAATCAGCAGTCCATCACAATCATAATGTTTCCTAAAGCCTTATTTCAAATGTTCTACCTACTTTTGTAATTAATTGGAACAACCTCTGCTATCTCAAATGCAAATGCACCGTGTCTGAACAAAAGTGCAAAACACACACTGGATACACGTTCTCTGGCTTCTAGTTACTGACCCCAGTGATCTGTTCCAGAAAAAAATAACACTTGCAACATACAGCTCTCACTGTGCCACTGCTGACTATTTAGCAAAAACAATTTTACCTTACCATAATTAGTTTTCCCTTTTCTTCTCAGATATCGCCACTGTCATTAGGCACCTATCTGCAAACTATGCAGTACTCATACAAACTGTTCTCATCGTTGTGCAAAAAGCTCGCTCGTTTATTTATTTTTAAAATTAATTTTATTTGTTACAGACTTCAGAGGAAGAGCTGTTTGGCAACAACGAAGAGAGCCCTGCCTTTGTAGAATTCCTGGAGTTTCTCGGAGAGAAAATTGAGCTGCATAACTTTAAAGGGTAAAGTCCTCACAGTGGTTTGAAAGCATTCGATATCCCCCATCTAATATTTCATAACATAATGCCACTACAATTTACATCAGACTAGCTACATGAAAGGTGGTGACGCTGCTGCAGTGATGGTGGAGAATATCCTCCTAGACATGGTTCTGTGTGCTTGCAGTTTCCGCGGAGGGTTAGATGTGACTCACGGGCAGACTGGCACAGAATCTGTCTACTGCAACTACCGCAACAAAGAGGTCATGTTTCATGTGTCCACAAAGCTGCCTTACACAGAGGGGGACACCCAGCAGGTACTGTAATGCAATACCAGACTAACACACCTTTTATGATTCAAAGGATGGTTAGGCAGGTTCCCTCTGGGCATCACAGAACCATATTTTGCATATGTGCATCACTGTTGTGCAAAAAGCCTGCAGTATAAAATTACAAAAAAAAAACCCCAAAACAACAACTCCCTGGTATTTGAGATATATCAATTCAGCGAATGCTTTGGTGTCTGCGTCTGTGAGCAGCACTCATCCCTCGAAGTGATTTAAAGCTCACGCAGCAACTTTTTTTCTCTTTTATCTCACACATTCACACAAAAACTGAGGATCGCAAGATGAAAAATGCTATCATTTACTATCAAGCCATCCACAAACAGAGATAAGACTAATGCCTGTATGTTCAGCCTCTCCTGCAGCAGTGAGTGCTACATATGGGCTACTTTGAGCAAACTGTTTCTGTGGAGGTTGTCATCGGGGAAACAGCACTCCCTGGTGGTGTTTCATAGACTTAGTAGTGTAAAGATTCAGACTTTGCCTTTATTTGGTGCTAGAAATTAAAGACATTTGTGTAGTCTTTTCTTTTTTTTAACGCAAATGCTGTGTAATTGTCATCCCACATAATCCTTTTAGATGTTTTCAGTTGGAAATATTCCTGGTTAGCTAGCTTTGTGTTATCAGTAATATGATATTAACAGTAATCCATAGAAAAACCACAATAGATCTCTATCTATTGTACTGAGTTGTTTTTCCAGGGAGGGAGTTCCAGGGAGCATTAACTTTGTTCATACATTTCATCTAATGCTTGGCATTTGTCTCCTTTCATTGTGCCAATTGTTACATGAGAAAATAATCATTTACACCCTTTTATATAAAATATGTATATATATTTATATATAAAACTAAGTTGCTGTTGGGCTGTTGTGTTGCAGTTGCAGAGAAAAAGACACATAGGAAATGACATTGTCGCCATCGTTTTCCAAGAAGAAAATACTCCCTTTGTACCAGACATGATCGCCTCCAACTTTCTCCACGCTTACATTGTTGTCCAAGTGGTCAACCCCTGCTCCGACAATGTTCTCTACAAGGTAACCCGCTTCAGCTTATTTCTGACATTTTCTCCTGAAAGCATTTATTGCACGTCATCTTTATCTTCCTTTCTAGGTGTCAGTTACAGCACGGGATGATGTACCTTTCTTTGGCCCCGCCCTCCCAAACCCTGCCATCTTTAAAAAAGTAAGAAGATGAAGATCTTTGACCTCACTGATCATCTTTTAGTTTCCGAGAAGATGCCTTACCTCTCTAATCCTTTTATGCAGGGCCCCGAATTCCATGAATTCCTTTTTACTAAGCTAATCAATGCAGAATATGCCTGCTACAAAGCTGAGAAATTTGCCAAATTGGAGGTACGTTTTTAAGAAAGACTTCAAACATTTTACGTCTTTTGACAGCCTTAAAAATTTTATTTACTTCCCTCTGCCTCATTTATGTGTGTGTGTGTGTGTGCATATGCGACAGGAGAGAACACGATCGGCCTTGTTGGAGACTCTTTATGAGGAGCTCCACTTAAACAGCCAGGCCATAATGGGTGTGGGAGGAGAGGACGACAAGCTGGAAAATGGGAATGCTGGAGGAGGAGGCTTCTTTGAGTCTTTTAAGGTAACTGGAAAAGCAGAAGCAGAGGCTGGAGCTTCAGGTCGACAGCTTCACTGGAACTCTCAGAAAGAAAAAGTTGAAGCTAGTTTGCATATTCAAAGTCTTGTTTTAGGAAACTAGGGTTTTTAATGTTTTACTTGCACAAGCAAAACAAAAGGAGCTTTCTTATTTACATAATTTAAATTCAAGCTCAGCAGCTTAGCTTAGCAAAAACACTGATAAAAGAGAGAAGCTCCACCTGCCTCAGAGGCAAACAGTATTCTCAGACAAATCAGTCGTTTTATTCCCTACAAAACCAGCGATTTCTGCCCTTGGATAATGTATTAATTAGTAAGTTTTAGAGGTGCCAGTATGCTCTTTGTTTCTAGCCTTTATGCTGATCTGAGATAACCCACTGCTAGCTGTGACTTTATACTGCAGACAGATTTGAGACTGATACTGATTTTCTGATCTAACTCCCAACAGGAATGTAAATCAGTATATTTCTCAAAAATGTCAAACTTGTAGTATTAAATTACATTTTATTATTAGCCTGTAAAGTGGCATCTCTAATTAGTATTCATTGTTACCTGTTGAGAGATGTTTTTTTTATGTGACATGAGCGCGACTTCTCTCTGGCAGTATTTCTCTTCTGTTCTTGTCTATATGCAGACTGAGCTGTAGAAGCTTTTTCTTAATCTGTATCTGAATGAAGAGATGCTCTGTTGCTCTGTCCTCCTGGAACATACCGCTCTCTGCTTCCCAGCTTTTCTTCTTCATGCTTTATAGTTGTTTTGTGATTCGCCGCGTTTCAGTGCCACCGCTCACGTATCTATATGGTCCTATCATCTTCATGTGTCATAATTTGGGGAATGTGGATGGAACGGATAATTTCCTTTCATCATCAGACGCCTCTGCCTCTCCACATTATTTCATGTTTGTAAAAAGGTGCACTGGGCTTTTAACTTCTTCTGGCTCTGATTAGACTCAGTGTGGTCAGACATCTGTGAGCCACTTGGCCCTTCTACTTCCCACTCTCTTCTCTTATCACCTACCTAGATAAAAATGACTCATCTGAACCTCCTTCAGGCACTAAAGCACACTAGTGTTCTCTGTCGCTTTCTTGTCTGTTAGAGTTAGAATCTGGCCAGTGCTCTCTGCCTGTAGTGGTCAGTGTTCAGGGACAGCCCCCAGGCTCCTCTTGGCCTGTTCAGTGATACCGAGGGGTCAGAGAGGTCAGCACCATCTGAATGTATCTCCTCCTCCTCGTCTCTCTGTAGAGGGTGATGCGCAGCAGAAGCCAGTCTATGGATGCCATGGGTCTTACTTTCAAGAAGCCGCACACAGTCTCCACTAGCCTGAGCGGCAACTTTAACCACAACCCCGCAGAGAGCCCTAAATTCCCAGGGATAGTAAGTACAGTCCCACTCCTCCAGTACTTATGGCGAGGTGAGCATCGCTGCTTCTGCCTCCCCCTCTGCAGATCTAACAGAGTTCATACCCCCTTCTCTTTCACTTGCCTGCTGCACTAACTTCTCACAGCGAGAGAGAGACTCCACACTTGGACATGGGAAGCAATTATGCCTGAGTCTTAAACTTGACTGTCACTTTGCAAAGGTTGCACATTGTCTACCACTACCAAAACGGATTGACTTAACAGTCATGAAAGTGGATATGTTTAGGACACAAGCTGAATGGGTTAAAGCATTTTTTTTCTAATTGTGTTCACGTGATTTAAATGCCCATGCATCTGCATTGTTAATGAGCGATCACTTCATTTCTAACATGGGTCGGAGTTGTCCTTGTGTGATAGTGTGTATAATGTGCGGTTATGCTTACATTTTTGGACTTCTTTTAATAATCACGCAATGATTTTAAATTCATTTTCTGGGGAAATTGATATTTATGTCATCAGGAGGAAAAGTTGTAAATCTTTTCAGGTGTTTTTCAGTTGAAATAATTTATTCAGAAATACTGCTGTAACTAAACTTGTGCACATATATGCTGCATATATAAGACAGACACAGCCACCATGAGGTTGGTGCCCCTTTTTCTTAAAGCCTTGAGTTGTTGTTTTTTTTTTAAACTGGATTTCATGAGCATGGACTAACTCCCATTATGAAACTGGGGGCACTCAGTAGCCCAATCTGAAAGGCCCACCCTGCTTTATATTTTTCCCAGAGAACCATGGGAGCTATAATTTGCAAAATAAACATAAATTTGTATTCAATAACACCTGAAAGCGATGATTAAAAACCTAACACAGAGATCAAAAACTAACTCAGAACATGCTTAGTGGGTACATGGAGGGAGTCGAGGGTTGTTTTCTTGTACACTTTGATGAAAGTGAACTTTTTGTAATCAAAAAGCCTTGAAAACTAGGTTTAGCTTTTGTATACAGTCTGTGTTTGGACACTTATTTTTCTTTTCTTTTTTTCCCAGTTGAAAGTAAAATATGACCGTTACCGTAGTTACAGTTACAAGTTTTCCATCAGTAGTGACTGTACATATGGTGGCCTGTCTGTTATATGTGGGGTATATGTTGAGAGATACTGTGTATCTTATATAAACTGATTAAGTTAATTCTCTCTGTATTAGACATATTAGACTTTTATATAATATCTTTCATCAGTGACTATGACTGACGAGCTTACTGTTTGTTCATAAGCCAGTCTTGATTTGATTCCTAATGTATAACATGCTGTGTGCCCTCCTCCGCTGAATTTACCTTCCTTTTCCTTTTTCAGACATACAGCTCACATAACTGGTGTATCATTCCTCTCTCCCATTCAGCTGCCTGTGTCGCACCCATGGAACCAAAATATCTCCCCCTGTATTCTCCAGCTAACACGCCTTTCGTAGTTTGTTTGGACAACATGACTTACTGCATGATATCTCATATGTATTTGTATATATCTCATGTTTTCTCTCCCCTCCTCCCCCCTTTTCCCCACCTCTCTTTGTTTTTTTCATATGTCATCACCACTCTCTCTTCTGTCTCTTCTCTCTTATTCTGTCTCTTTCTTTCTCACTGTTTTTATCAGTCATTGCTTGTCCCAGGCAAAAGTCCGAGTAAATATGGACGCCGAGGCAGTGCCATAGGGATAGGAACAGTAGAAGAGGTTCATGTCTAATTCTAACTACTCTCCAACTACTTGCTTTCCGTCTTTGTTTCCTTTTCTTGTTTGCATGGCTCCTTTGCATCATAGCCAAACATGTTTCTCTGCACATTTCAGCTCCCTAATGTGTATTCTGTATATCAGAAACTGTGTGCTACAGACAGGATATATTATTTAAAAGGCTTAATCATTTTAGTCTGTGAACATAGTCCTGCCCATTTTCCAGTGAATTAGTTGCTTTAGCAAGTCCAATCTTTTATATTTTCTAGACTAATATATGTATGAACTGTTAAGAGTATTTGCTTCTACTCTTATTTTCTTCTCTGCTTTACTGCAGTATGTGCACACCTGCTACAGTTTTACTCTATAGTTTCATTCCAGTGTGCTTAATTCTGTATTTGTTAAAAAATAATGAATATTTATAATTTAATAAGCCCCTTACAGAGAAATTGTGAAAAACGCCCCCTGCCCCCCCCTCCCCCACTGCTCTTTGAAGCCACACTAAATAAAAGCCTCTTTTTTTTTAAAGTTCTCATTTCGAGAGCATTAAAAGGGAGATTGAACGAACAAAGCAGATGCTGAGAAAGCATATTTAGTGTTAGGCTCTGGAGCTTTTAAACCCATCTTTCATCCCCCGCCTTAGTGTGCTCTGTTCTGGCTGAAAGACTGCCACCAGGGCTTGTCATTAAGCTGCTAAAAGCATATTTTAACTTTTTTTTTTCATCATACTGACAGCTCGGAGGGAGCAGTGTTACTCTTCAGCCTGGTAATTCAGGGTGATATGTTTTTGAAATTTTGCCAAAGTGTTCTCTATGATACAGTACACGACAAATGAATGGTTCAGTGGTCAAAGTAACCATTAGCTCTCCTCAGTCATAAATACCTAAAGTGATAAGCTCTTGAAATGAACCTAGTTTATTATACAAGGTATTGGAAATATTTTTGGCATTGTCCCTGAACGGTTTTCCTCTTTCCCTGTCAGTCTCTGATAATCCCAGGAAAAAGCCCAACCAGGAAAAAGTCTGGCCCTTTCAGCTCCCGGCGAAGCAGTGCCATCGGCATTGAAAACATTCAAGAAGTCCAGGAGAAGAGGTTGGAGAAGATTCCTGTGATCATTTACATAGCATATACCTGTAGACCATCTTCTACATAAAATAACTTTTTTTTCTTCTATTTTTAACTTGTAGCAGTAGAGATAACTCCCCAAACACTCAGAAGACACCTGACAGTGGCCACGCCTCTCAAGATCCCAAATCTGACAATTCATCCAATCAGAGCTCTCCTGAGGTGCTCACAACTACCAAGAACAGGTATATATAATAAACAGGCTCCTACCATATCCCCTGGACACTCACTGAAAATTTTAAAAAGCATGTATTTGTGTAACTGCTGGGTAATCCTCCCTTAGGTTAACATGTAGTATCACTATACATAAGATAAAATCAGGTTGGAGTTGTTAACCCAGGGTGTAGTTCTTATCTTGTTGGCAGGGCCGCATCCATCCCTGAGGCTCACGACCTTTCCCGCTCGTCCTCCAACGCCAGCAGCTTTGCTAGTGTGGTGGAGGAGAATGAGACAGAGGCAACAGAGGAATACGACACAGGCATGGTAAGCAGTGTATCATGTATATGTACTACATGTAGAAACACAAATTATAAATTGTATTTAAGCTATCACATTTTTGTTTTTTCACTATAATCTACATAATCTGGTTTTCTTGGTCACCTTGCCATATTCTCCAGGAGAGTCTGTCATCTGCTGGAACACCACACAAGCGAGACTCCTTCCCCTACAACACTTGGCTGGAGGACAACAACAGTAACACTACTACCACCAGTCGTGGGAGCTCCCCAGGTGAGAGAGACAGAGAGCTTGGTGAACAAGGTCCAGCTTATTAAAAGTTTAAAGGGAAGGGTTAAAGTGAAGAAAGCCCGTGGTTAAGCAATGCATAATTAATGCATTCAATTCATGACTTATTGTAATAAGAAGCTAATAAATAATCATGTAGCTTTGTGATTGTAATGAGGATATTAACATATAATAAAAAATAATATTTTTTACAAGTGTAATATATAATGAGAAATTGATATGCAGCTATCTTTTCAGAATATTAATTAGCAAGTATAGTGTTTCATCTAACCTCTTTAACGTGTAATAAAGTTGACTTTCTATTTCTTCTGCAAAACAAGTAAAAGCTTTCTTTTTTTCTAAACATAAATGATTCATGTTGTATCATTTAATATTTATATAACTGTCTATATCAGGTATGAGTCTTTTCACACATTGCTAACCTATCCTTCAGGGCCTGGTAAACCTGATCGAGCAAAGGGGATGAAACTGGAACGATCACACAATCAGCAGTCCTCATCAGTGAGTCAATCAGCCAGCTCTAAACTAAGATCTCGTGCTTTCATTTGTGTTCATTGCACTTTCTTCTTTTAATTTGTAGTCACAACAAATGTATACTCTTCTGTAAGACTGACCAATTCCTATAGACCAATACAGTCTCTGCTTTACTGTTCTGCAGTGCTGCACTAATTTCTGTGACTTGTTACTGATACCGTTCTCTTTATTTTCACTGCTCCGTGTGCAGAACTGTTAGCTCAACTCACCTGGTAGTGTCCTGGATCTCCATCTTCAGGTTGGAATTCCTCTCTGCACACTTATGGCTTTAATCCACAGGTTTACTATGCACAGATGGTTCCGAAACACAGTATCCACATGCACTAAACCAAAATGCTGCTTGTGAGCATTTGTTATACAACAGTCTTCTGTCTTAGTTTTATACATAATCCTCGTCAACAGTACTGAGGAATAAACAAAAAGAAAGCAAATCTGTGTTATGGCAAAGCTAGATTTATTTTTAAATATCCCTAATTATATGAATACTACACATTCTTATACTTGTATTAAATTTTTGACCAGAATTTTCTTCTCTTCCAAAAGCATTCCCATAAGTCACAATCCTTCTGGGAGATGAGACAAGTGCAGGCATTTCGCCATGACCAGTGATGAGAAGGAAAATGAGAAAGAAGATGAAAAAAAGAGAAAAAACCTGGCCAGTCCACTGCTCAGTGAGGTCAAAGTTCAGCATATCTAGAGAAACCTGGAGGACACTGGAGTGGATGATGCACAGAGGGGCTCAGCTTTTGCACTGTGTTCTTTCCTTCCACTCTGTTCTTTGCCTCTTTTTTTAAAACCTGACCTTTGTTCCCAACTGCACAAATATAATTGTTTTATTTGTATGAGATATTACCTTGTCTGAGTTGTCTCGTTAAAGCCGAGGTGTGCTGGTTATACACGGTAAAGACAGTGCCATTGTGCTCTCTGTTGAGACTGAGGGAAGGACTGTTGATGCAACAAGTGAACTGCCTGGATGGTTTTACCAAATCAACCACGATATTGGCTTAATGAAGATTTCCAGTGTACGTGTTATACAAAATATTTGACATCAGATTTGAGTATTTTGTCACAAAATATCCAATGTGATAAAAAGTTCTAACATTGCTGTTAAGGTGATTATTTTCCGGGTAAAATACAAGTGTAACTGCAGCAAATAACTGTGTTCTTTGCTCCAGTGCCCACTGTTACCTACCAAACTTAACATCATAGTTTGTGGTAAAGATAGCATTGTATTGTAAATACCTTGCAATGGCCTTATAATTTAAACAATTTCCCTGGCCTTCAGTTTTTTTACCTCACTTTTTTTCACTCACATGTTCTGCAGCCAATAACGGGAGAGCAGTATTAGATTAAATGTGAAACTAACACATTTAGAATAATTTTAAGCACACTAGTTTAAAAATTTGTGGCATAAATCATTAAAATCTGCTAATGTATAAACATACTGTACCAATCAATGAGTGATTTAACTGATTTGTCTGTCTTAAATGTTGATATGGAGATCGCTCTCAACATTATGCTGTTTTGTTCTCTCTCTAATGTACTTTTTTATTTATTGATTTGGTTCCTTTTAAAGTCGTATTTATGCTGTACCTCTATGGTGACTACAAAGACTACAAACAGCCAGTCATATGCTTGTACTGTCTGTGTTGTTTTGGTGTGAACTATATTGTTGTCATCTGTAAAGCTCTGTCTATTTCAGGGGTTGGGATTTCATTGAGTGCAGTAAATTTGCAATGCAGATATATAATGAAACAGTGAACCTTTATTTGCTTTTAAAGCAAGACAAAAACTCTAAATACCACTACTGATTTTGTAAATAGATGTTAAGTTTGAGGACTGTATGTGTAATGTATAGGCAGATAATTCAAAATAGGATTGACCAATTACTGCCAAGTTAATTTTTTGCATTTTTTATTTTGTTTTTCCATAACCTCAAATTTTAAATATTTTGAGAGGATTTTATAAATTAAGATAATTTCAGAGACTGTTCTGTTAAAGGGAAATCTCACAGTACATCCAGCTGATCATTTCAGTTGCCTTATGTTGCACACTGATGGTGTAAGCATAGCTAGTGAAGCAAACAAGTTATGGGCAGCAGGATTTACAGTGAAATTAATGTTTTGTCCTTGATGTTATTTTTGGTTTTTGTAAATAAATACCCTGAGAACTTTACCATCTATCGCATATTTCTTTCCTTGTGTTGCATTACAACATTCAGTGAAAGCTCATTACTTAGCTGTAGCATCTTTCCATCCTTTTCTTCTCACACAAATACTATTTTTCTCAATGCCTGATAGTAGAAATCATATGGAGAAATGCCTTCATACTGTAGGTGTTCCATTTCCCACAAACTTAATGAAAGCTGAGCGAGAAACCCCCATGAATAAATGATTCGATGTGGCTGCCCACAAGCTTTCAAAACTAGAGCGATCTAAAAGTGGAGAATTCCCTGGTTATGCAACTGTGCCACATGGAGGAAAGACACATATTCAGATTTAATGAGTCAAAGGGAAATAAAACTGAGCCTTAACCGAAACTAGTTTTCAAATTTCCCAACAATTGCAAGCCACATAAGAGCCGGCCACAGGAGTTTTAGAAATGTACATACTCGCAAGAGAAATAGGAAAATCCAAGTTTTGAACATGCTCAATGTTTCAGTTTTATATACTGATAATTGCCTGAAGATTCAACACATTAGTAGTAGCATTAAAAAACGAATTAGTTAATTTATAAAAAAAAACACGCTAACAAGTAAGGTTTACATTTTTTGCATAAACAATAGTAGTAACTTGCCTCTCTGTGAAGAGATACAAATTAACACACCTGAGAGATACACTGGATTTATCAGCCTACCGCACCATATGTATATGAATTTGAGCCCTTCTTGAACTAATCTTAAAAATAAATAAATACATATTAATATTAATACTACTCGTACCACTAATACTACTAATAAAATGATAAAAGCGATGAAACACTGTGGGGCATGACAATGCAAAGTGATAAAGAAATCCAGACCAACAGACATTTCTATCCCTGCTGAAAGAAACATTCACTCTGAATGTTATAGAAAAACTCTTCAAATATAAAGACCTTGAAATAGAAATTAAGAAAATGCCCGACAAGAAAATTACAAAAGTACCAGTGATGTTAAATTCTCTTTGTTTGGTCAAGGAAGGTATGAAAAAAAATCAACAAAATCCCTGGTAATATCAGGATAAAATACCTCCAGCTCCTCTTCTACTTTATCCATCGAGTGAACTATCGTGCTCTCATGGTCCTGGGTTTTAAGGGATATATTTGTAATACTACTGCTACTACTACCACTACTACTACTGATAATAATAATAATAATAATAAGAAGAAGAAGAAGAAGAAGAAGAAGAATGGACATTTTGTTTCAAAGCAAAGCCTTAAGGAATATATGTATGTGAATTTTTGCATGTATTCTTATAATTGTTACTTTTTTCTTTTACCCCTGGCTTTTTGTGTTTATGTTTTGTTGTTTTGTATACTTCATCTGTTCGTATGTTGTATACTCATTGTTTGTTAAATAAAGTTTAAAAAAAAAAAAGCCTTAAGGAATAAAAATCTACTCGGCGGAACCTTTCTCAGCACGGAGAAAGCGGAAGCGACTTAAATGTGTGTCGCACGGAGCGGAAGTAGTTAGTTGAAGTCACATTGAAGACGGAACCTCGGGTCATAGTAATACTAGGTAACCCAACTCTTTCTTGAATTAAACGAGGTTGTTATAAACATGCCACCAAGTAGTTAAAGGCAGAAAAATTCTATCCTTAGCTTTTAATATTTGAGCGTTTTGGCGGCTTTCTCGTCCAAAGTGGAGCTGCTGGTTAACGCGCCTGTTTAGCCACGATGAGCCAGTTGGCAATTACATAATTCTTGAATTTCCTTCGGTCTCTGTTATTTCATTTATTTATTTACTTACTTACTTACTATCTTACCGTTTGGACTTTTTATTTTCATTTTTAAATCACCCGCTGTTGGGCGCCTGATTTTCCGCTGATTTAAACCTGGAGGGAGGTTAGCATCCACTATTTCTGGGTTTTGATAACAGTCATTATATAAGCCTTTCACAGTGTCCCAGCACTTAGGGTAGAGATGGCTAAAGGCAGCTTTCACGCAGCTTTACTAGCCTAAATAATAATTACTGGAAACCTAATTTGCTACAGTGAAAACCAGTGAGACCTACAGGTTAAGAACCTGAGAACAGCCAGTTCCCAGCTCAAGGGTCAAAATGTTTCACATTTTTGCAGTGAAATCCAATTCAAATTTTAACATCCGGTAACATATATTAAAAAGGTATTATTAATATTTTTTTTTCTGCGTTATTTTATGCATGTGACGGCAAATAGTTATTTTACTGTATTTATGTGTGAGTGTAATGCCAGAGGAAAAGTAAATTTGTTTTGCTAGTTCCATGTATGAACTTAATAGATAAAGTGATTCTGAAGTGCTCTTACCTAATATTTCTATGGTTGGAGAACTAAAACAAATGTTTGATGTTGTTGTTGTTGTTGTTGTTTTGTTTTTTATCTCTGGAACAAGTCACAAAATTAGTAAACAAGAAAAGGGCCAGAAAATAGTTGGCATTACTCTCAGCATTCTTTCATAAACATGTCTTAAATGAGCATAAATCAGCTATTCTGCATCTAGAATAATATAATATTCATCTGCAGCAATTTGAACAATAGTGGATCCCTTTATTTGTCTGTCATTTAGAATACACTCCCAACAAATTCATGGACCTATTTTCTATGAAATGTGATATTTCTTTCTGGTTTATCATAAATAAGTTTTAGACGGCTTGGTTGGACAAGACAGTATACATAAAGTTAAATGTTGTTGGGGGGTTTTTGTGGGGCTCTCAGGTGCCTCTTTCAGTCTTCATCAGCAGCGAGTTTTGCTGAAAACTCTGGAACCTAAAATCTCGGTCAGATGAACGTAGACTTCATTCAGCAACCCGCAATCTTTGCAGATTGCAAGACAACACCAAAAGGCTGAAATTACAAATTTTCACTAGGTGGCTGGCACATGGATAAGTGACCAGTAGTTGCACTGTTACCAGGGGGTCACAGTCTAGTCTCTAGACATGTGTGATTGGTGCTTTAGTGAACCCTGTTTTATAGACTAAATAGTAGGGCAGGGCGATATGGTCAAAAATATATATCACGATATATATTTGAAAATTTGCGATAACGATATAACTGACGATATAATTTCTGCGAGACAAAATACAACTCCACAACTTTACTAGCGCAAAAAACCCTGATTAATTCATTTTACTTAAACAAGTAGCTGTTTTTATATGCATTAAAGCTATATAAACATTTAACAGTGCAAATGCAAATTCCTTGCTGAAAGTTTAACCAAAAGGCATTTCCAGTAGAAATGGGCTGACATATCCTGAGCATAACCATGTATAATATCCACTGAAGTTAAAAAGAGGCGCTTTGCAACATTAAACTGCAGTGTGCCAAATAAAAAAGTCAAATATGTATTTCTAGGACCATAAGGTGCACGGGATTATAAGGCACATTAAGCTAAACAAAGCAGTCAGATAAATCAAACTTTATTCAACTCATTCTTCTTGCTTCTTCCACTTCTGTACCATTGATTCATTAATGCTGTATTCTATCACAGCTCTCTATTCCCTTGTTGTTGCAGTATATTAATGACTAACCTTCTATTGTGGATGGATTATCTCAGTTGTTGTCCTGACTAAAGTTTGGTCCATTTACAGCATCCTGCCATGCGATTGCATTTGTCTCTAACCATCAGGAACCTTCACATTAACTTTTATCGAGTGGAAAAGTGTTAGCGTTCATCCTCGAGCTTCACTGTTTATGTTATGCTAACACAGCTGTGTCGCTAGCGATCACGTAGCACATCATTATATACCAGCTAGCCCAACTTCAGTAACCCTACAAACGTCACTGCTGTGTAGTTTCGTGTCTTCATTTATGTTGGAAGTGATAGCAGAGCTGTACGTTTGAATTTTTCAGAAATCTCTCAGTTAGAATATGCTATATATCATGTTTAGGTGGAAGCTAGCGAACTAACTTCTGGCTAACGCTGATCATTTTATTAAAGATGATAGAATTTAGACAATTTTTAACTCTCAGTGATGCCGCAGTGTTCGTTTGACTTTGGGACCTGAAGGGGACGGAGTTTTGGACCCAGTTTTAGATCACTCCGTAAGGCTCCTGACTACGGCAGCCGTAATGCTCCGGCAATCCATCAAGCAGTGAGCCTTCATAGCTTACCAAAGTCATACTAAAACATTTTTGATAGATTTCTGTGTGCTGTGTACCACATAAAATCGGTTCGAGGTCAGTAAGCACAACCAGAATTCATACATAAGGCACACTGTTGATTTTTGATAAAAATTAAAGGATTTTAAGTGTGCCTTATAGTGTGTAAAATATGTTATACAGAAGAAAAGAATATATCGCGATATATATCGTTACCGCACATGCTTCAAATTATACTGTGATATGGATTTTAGGCCATATCGTCCAGCCCTAGTCTGAAGTTACTGTTACATTACCAGTTTGATTGCTGTGACAGAGCAGAGTAAGACCATACTTTGTCCTTTTTTATTGCGACAGGACCAGGGACCAGTGAGCTCATTCCTGATGACCTTGTTTGGATAACCACTGACAATGTTTGCCTCAAAGATCATCCCTCGTCTCAGCCTATTACGCAAAGCAACTTGTGAGTCAGAACAAATAGCCAAATATCTGTCTGCCTACATTCAATACTATGTTTTCTATTTCATTAAAATCAGACTTTTTTTCTTCCCCTTAATGACAAGGTGCACTTCAAGCCCATGGAGAAACTTTGAATGGATATCTACAACCAGCTGCTTCTGCTTACTGCTCTTCACGTCATCAGAAACTGAGAAACTACTCAACAGCGGCAGACAACAGGTCTCCTCCGCAATGGGTCCAGCTTGAGCCGGAGCTGGACGAGGCTCTCATACCACGTAAACTGTCAGTAAGTCCCCTGGAGAGCTGGCTCTCACTACGCTACTCCCTCCCTCCGCTGCTGGAGTCCACTCAGCCACAGGAGGATGTAGAGCTGCTGGAGGAGAAGGTGCTGCCGCCTATCTCCGTCCCCGTTTTGGAAGACGGGGAGGGTACAGTAACACC